CCCCCCGTTGACAGTTCACGAGCATGCTCTATCGTGAACTTTTCAGACCCGACGGGTAATAAGGGATTATGACGGATATTTTACGATCCTGTCTGTCGAAATGACGGACAGCGAAAAAGTCTAATGCCAGGCTTATTGACAGGTCGAGATATAAATATATGGTTGATACTTGTCAATGTCTCTAGGTGTGTAAATACGATGTCCTTTTGTGTTATCTGTTGTTTTATTTTCATGTTGTAACCTACTTGCTGCCATGTTAGACAGGTCTCTCTTGAAAAAGAGATCGATGATCTCAATGGGACCACCTGGTTAAATAAAGGTTTAAAAAAAAAAAAGTGTTTAAAAAAAATAATATTCTTTTTAAAAATTAATTTTTTTTAAAAATCGCGGTAGATTTTGTCAGTCTCACGACGGTATTGGGAAGTTTATTTACCACGATACCGCGATATTCGGTATATCGTTACATCCCTAGTAGGGACTCTGGGAGTCCCAGCAGCTTCTACTGAAGCCAGTCCCCAACTCCGGGGACTTCAGGCCGGGACTTCGGGTGGCAGTATACGCCGTGAAATTGTTTGCAGCCTGCCAGTAAACCCAAAGCAGAAGAAGACGAAGTGACGTCAGTGACTGCAAAGTACGCGGCGTTAACGCGGCTATTACATCTTTTTAACTGTTGCTTCTAGTTCTTTAGCTCTGACAATGACCGCAGTGCATATTTATTACCCACTTAAGCTTTCAAATTCTCTGGAGAATAATGATGTCTATATACTGAGCACCATCAGTGTCTCCTGTGCCCTGTACTACAAAGCCAGTTCAACAGACCCTGGATATGTTTGAGTTATGGCTTAACTAACCCTAACAAATGAGATCTCGCTAAGCGGTCTAACTCGGTAAATCAACCCAGGGTTTCTCTGTCCGGCTATTAGCACTTTCACATGAAAGGGGCGGAGTTAGCAACATTTGACCAATCACAAACAGAGACAAGCGTACTGACAGCGCAGTGTCATACTTCCTGAATGAAAAGTAAACTATAATATTAGGCAAATATGAAGAAGTTAAACTTTAAACATCCATGACTTAAACCAGGAATGGGAAAATGGCGGCCCGGGGGCCGCAGATTAATTTATAAACAACGTAATTAATCCAAAAAAAATAAAAATGTTTTAACTTGTAGTACTGATACCGTCCACTAGACTCCTAGTTACGTTTCGAGCTGCGTACATGATTTCGTTCGGCAGCCAAATACCGCAAAATAATTTGTGACACGTTTGTGTGTATTGTGTTTGTGTCCCGGGGAAACACACAAGAAACACCGGCTGTTGTTATGCCTGCTGTGACGTTAAGTTGCCGCTTGTAATTATGCTTAAAAGTTGAAGTTTAATATTCTAAAAACCAAGACTTTATTTGACCCTGCCGTGTTATCTATGATTACTATACGCTTTTCCTTCATAATTTCAGCAGGAGGGAGGGGGAGCGGCGCTGAGGAAAAGCAGAGTGCGGGTTGACAGGTGCCTTAGGTTCAAGTTAGACAACTAAGGTCTGGGTTAGTGTTCATGACTTCATGTCATCTTAATGGTTAATCTTGATGCACACACATTTTCCGTGCTTTCCAATAGTTTAAAATAGTTTTATTCCACTGTTAAATAACCTGTTCAATACAAACATGCCACTTGTACAAATTAAATAACATTTCTGTGAACTGATATTTGTTTTGTGAGCTTATTAGAGGATGTTCCCTGAAAGATTGTAAAATGTCAATGAAGATGTCAGACTTAGTATATTTGTTAATAATTACATACAATACATGGAATTTGTGTGTGTGTGTTCCAAGTGAATCTGCGGCCCCCTGGTGGCCAGTACATACATTATGTGGCCCCCACCACCATCCAAGTTGCCCATCCCTGCACTACAGGGAAGGGAAAACCACAAAAAGCAAAATAGGACCTCTTTAAAAACTCAGCCTGGCTCTATATACAAATGTGTGCACAAACTGTATAACTGAAATAATAAGAATCACTTCTCTGCCTGCAGAATGGTCGAGGTTTAAACACATCAGGGTAATTTGCCACTCACACAAGTACGGAGTAATAAATGATTCATTATAAATTCAAGTGCTTTAATAATTGACTTGTGATTGTCTAACCTTCCTGGCACTCCTCGCACGAACAAACTGTACCAGTGTGTGAACACAAACGATTACAAAGTTATACACTAAAAAACAGTTTTGACCCTCAGGGATACTGAGTGTGTTTGAGGAGGCATGTGTCTATTTTTTAAATATTGTTTTCAGTTGTTTGTATGTGCCATTTCTTCCCTATGTTTTGGTTTCCACACTGTACTGAGTAAGCAAGGCCTGTGTGTATTTCTGCGTGTGTATCTGTGGTTATTCGTGCATGGTTATACATGTTTCCAATGTGTGTGTGTGTCTGCGGGCCAGCGGACTTGTCTGCTGCGTATGAATAATCAAAGTGGTCTCTCTCATCATTAAATCATCGCTGTCCTGTTGGGAGCCTGAGGAGGAGATGGAGTGGGGGGGGGGAGAGGGTGAGGCAGAGGGATCATAGTTAGCGCTGCAGGGGAACATGCTCTCCCTCTCTCCGCCGTCGTGTAGCGCGGCTGAGATGTGTCATGAGCACAAGTCTTTCTGCTCTCTGTGCTCGCCCACTTAGCTCCCCCAGACACATGCACACACACACTCATACATATGCACTAGCACTCATACACACAGGCACATTATTCAGGAGTGTACAGACATGCACACACTGACTCAAACACACACATCTCTTTCCTGGAGGAGAGGGTTCTCCGACCTCTGCTGCACATGGAGCTGTCCTCTCTCAATGACACAGTGCAGCACATATTTACATACGCTGTTGACCTTCACATACACATTAGCCTTTCTGATGTAAATAAGGGTTGAATGCAGGGTTGGGAAGAATACTTTAAACATGTATTCCATTACAATGACTAGTTATGTGGAAACATTTTGTAATCAGTAACCTAATACCAGTTGATATATATACTGTATTAGAGTAACCTGATAACTCTCAACATCAATACTTGGGGAAGGAGAACTATGTACATGTACGACGAAACCAAGATATTTAGTATAATAATGTGTCATCCTGAAGAGCCCTATTATGCTATTTGGGGTTTTCCATTTCCTGTAGTGTGTTTGTGTGCATGTCAATGGTCTACAAATGCTATAATCCCAAAGTTCCTACCAGAGGGAGTTTCTCTTTTGAACATTAAATATATAAAGTATGATACAGACCTTTTCTGACCAACGGAAATAACAGCTCGTCAACTTCGTATTATATTTCCATATTAAATAATACTCATAAAGTCTACTTCAAACCGCAGAAGTTAATATGAAGGTTTCACACTTTAGAGATCATATGACTGTGAATCGCACCTGAACGCCTCGTGCCAGTAGAGAGAAAAGACAGAATGAAACAAAAGTGTGAGCACGAGAACAGTGATTGTGAGTAGTCTGGGTGAGAGACATTCACACACACACACACTCACACACGCACACACACACACACACACACACACACACACACACACACACACACACACACACACACACACACACACACACACAGCTAATGAGCGTGGTGTGCGGTTAGAGCCAGACGGGCTCCTCGCTCAGACCGTTGGGAGTTCAGCGAGGAGTCACCCCTTTCTTCTTCCAAAGCAGCACGTTACCGTTTGGCTGTCGTTATCAAAGCAGGCGCAGGCTCTCACCTGAAGCGCTGCGTTCCTGGATTGTGGGAGACAGGTAGACTCAAACACGAGTTCACGATGATCCCTGGAGTGTTTCAATGATCTTCATAATTGTCAGATAAAAAAAGAGTAATGGAGTTTCCTCAGTAGAAGACAGGATGGATGAATATGTGCGGTGTCTTTCATGTTATTGCCTTTTATTTTGGATTAAAAGGATTCTCTTGTGGGCACCTTAGAAGCAATTATCTCCAAATGGAAAACATATACTGTTTTGTGCATTCTAAAATAAATTGCAGTGTTTAATCCCAGGTCAAATATGTGTTAAAGATAATAGCACCTAAAGCATCTCTATGGCTTAAAGATCTAATGTTATACCTGAACTTGGAGAAGATTAAATATAACCTGAGGGGCTCTTCAGAAATGTTTGAATCTGTCTGGGGCTCTGTGATAGCCTACATACATGTAGCTGAACTTACGACACTAAGTTAGGAAGAAAGGGGGGACTATGAACAGGGCCGCCGCATGCGAACAGGCAAGGCAGGCAACTGCTTGGGGCCCCGGACCAGAAGGGGGCCCCCAAAGAANGACCAGAGGCCCAACATACTATGCGAGAAGAGAGGGTCGCGTGGTACTAACCCGAAAAGAGGGCACTCGGCTAGTCGAGTGGTCACCGTCAAGGAGGTGGCCGACGAGGTCGTCTCCACGCTGGTGGTGAGCTACGTTTGTCCCTCTCATTCAGGGCTAACCTCATCTGAGACTTTCCTGGTAGATCGTTAAGTAGTCGTTAATAGTACTAGTATTTCTTAGGGCTGTGCGATTATGGCAAAAATCATCATCACGATTATTAAAAACGATTATCCATTTACTTTGAAAACATCCATTT